GTCCTGTACTTCCGCCTCGAGGAATCGAAAGTCCTGTTCCTGTTGACAGCTGTGAGGGTCTCACGTATACATAGAGGTGGAAAGTGTTCCAAGATGATCAATCAGTATTAAGAACAACTATAGTTGACTCTAGATACAAGACGTAGCGCGAGGAAGCAAAAGAAAGGTAGCTTCCTCGCGTTCAGGGGGAACCCATGTACACCATGTTGGTCCCGTGCGGATCATATCTCCATCCGTTCCGCATGCTTCATCTATATCCCTGACAACAGCTTCACTAACTCCTGGGACCACAGCTTGGCCTTCTGGGAATAATTAAATGGCGCGGAGATTTGTGCGCCGGCCTGGCGAGGGGATCTCGTGAGGACTCCACTTGACCCTCGGAGACAGAAAATTAGCTCTAGGAACCAGAAACAAGGGCCCAGGAGTGCAAGAGCTCCTAGATCCAGCCGAAATGTTCCCAAAGCCATTTCTTATTTATTCAGGAACTGTACTGAAGGCCCCAGGAATAATTTTTGGTTCCTCGAGAATATGAAGGGCCGAAGAGCTAAGTTGGGGCTCTGTCAAGGATATACATGAAGCATACGGGACGGATTGAGATATGATCTGCGCGGGACCCACATGGTGTACATGGGTTCCCCTGAACGCGAGGAAGCTACCTTTCTTTTGCTTCCTCGCACTACGTCTTGTACCTAGAGTCAACTAACTTAACAGTGTCGGGTACATGTAGTCCGAGATCCAAAAGATGAGCCAAGGTTGCAAAATCACGCACAACAACCTTCAGATCGTAAAACGGTCCAATTGACTATAATCGGTTAATATTTTCAGTGGGCTGTTGGCAGTTTTGTCTCCATTGGATAATAGTAATAGTGATCAACGCGTTAGTCGGGGAGTTGATCAAGCCTCACGGCGTTGAGGTTTAGATCCCAAGTATTCATGTCCATGACCTTTGCAGACTTGAGCAAATTTAGCCAGCCACCAACGGTCGTTGTAAGCCCGTGTGACCGTGGTAAAAGGGTGGGTACAATCATCATAGCATAATGACGGATTTTGGTGTTCTACAGGCGTCATTCCGACGCCTTTGTTCACTGACCGGATAATCAATTGGAAAGAAATGATACATACATACTGTGAGATTCACTGATGTTTTATTTGTTGGCATGGGATGCCATGAGCAGGTACAATGCGATGAGGAGCTGTCGATATATCTCATATTCATCAGCTCCCTGGTGATGAACGCTAATTGAGGGGATATATATATTTTAATATCCCACTTTTACATTTGCTAAAGCCTCAAAATGTGACAGAAATATTGTACAATTTAGAATTATTATACCAACCCAAAAAAAAAAAATTAATGATCGTTGCGAGTTCAAAATATTTAGTTCATGTACGGCTAAATCAACAATGTCCGCGGGTCAGCACACGCGACCGTGACCTAATGCTCCCACTCCAGTCTAGACGGACAGACGCACAGCTCACACAGCCAACTGTAAAGCGAGGCTGGGAAGACCAGTCCATGTCTCCTAGTGAAGAAATTGAAGGCGCTCTTTGACGATTCAACGTTGGGTCATTAACAGATGAGATGGTCAAACATGAATCATCGAAGATTTAATAGCTCCCAGTGTCTCAATATAGAAGACCGTGGAGGATTTGATCGTTAGCCAACGTTTCCTTAACCGATTCAGCATCACTTTTTCTTAACATAACCCCAACTCGTCTCTCTCTGTGGGCATATAAAATGGCATCAAGAATGTCGCTGCAAAAGTCGCGGTAAAAACGAAGGCATGGGTTGCAACAGGCCTCACATAGGATAGGCATCGTGTCCTTCAACGTTTGCTACCTAGCAGAGCACGTACGCGACAGGGGCCGAGAAGCCTATAAATACGTCCTCTACCCCCAGCAATTTGTTCTACAATTCTATCACTTGGCTACCCAAAGTCGAGCAGGCCTTGTGTCTTGAGGCACTCGATAAGTTCACCCCCTTCGACCCAGTACTGATTTTTCCACTGTACTGACATTTTTAGATACATCGTGGACCGGCAAGCTAGAAAGTGCCTGTGAGAGAGAGACGTGATTCCCACCAGGTCCACTATGCCACCCATGCCAGCCGATCAAAGAACAAGATTTGGGTTAGCTGGTCAAAGTGTCTATGCGAACATCTCTCTCCACCATAGCAGCCGACTCACTGTCTCGCCCTGGACCTCCCCCGATGCAAAAGAGCGACTTTTCATACAGGTATGTAAATTTCAGCACGATACTGTCCAAATTCAACTGACTTCAAAGATGATGCGAAACAACCAGATCCATGCATTCCGTCCAATATACACCAGCGCAAAGCCACGGAGCCCTTTCCCGTGTCTTCTTCCAGAACATGTGAGTCATGCATTGTCTCGCCGATCAACAAGCTAATGATGGACAGGAAACCGTTGACAGTGCACCAAAGTGAGTCCGAACCAGCACCTCGTCAGTGCTCCGCGCAAAGCCACGGCTTACACACCATTTCTGGTCCTGCCGCTTCAAACCATGCAGCATGTCCTATGTGGAATATTGTAAACCAAGGGCGCGGGCCAACAACAGCACGCATAAGCTCCAGACGTTGGTTATCCACGATGAGGTGAGTGGAATATCGCGCCTCCTGCTGCGCCGGGTCCGATTATTTGTGCCAAGTCTGTGTCTCAAACACAAAACACCACTGACATCTCCATGCCGTTGTAGGAGCAGCCCATCGCCAGCATGTTGTGCCAAGCAACCTATTCCCGCCGAGTCAGATAAGACCTAGGGCACTACGGCGCGCTCCATCGTGTCTTCCGCCCCTCTCCTTACCGCCTTCACGCACCAAACGGCGGAGCCTCAACCTCTTGGCATCTACACGAAGCTGTCTCCCAGTACGACTGTACAATTCCTTGTCACAGGTGAGTTCGTCGCGCGCCTTTGCCGTCTAGGAAACTTGCCCGGTGCATCCAGCGCGGCTTCTCGAAGCGACAGCCGGAGAGTGCAACGAACATGAATACAACATGGCGTGAATGGTGACCGCATTGCTGAAGAGAATTGGAAGTGATCTAGTCGGTAAGCTGGTATGATCACGATCCTAATTGATCATCGGTCTCAAGCGTACTCTCGGGGGATTCTTCATCAACAACGTAAAGTACAACACCTCGTCAAACTGGATCAACACTTGCTGACTCGGATCTCACCACAGGAAGACACTCTCAGATTCTCACACTTGTATGCGAAGCGAGCAAATGTCTGGGCTGCTCAACCTCCCCTGCACCAACACCATCGCATGCTCTGTTTCTTCCACATGAATACCGATGGCATCGATGATCGCAACCTCGACCTTCTCGCAGTGGATTTTGTTCATCAGATCATGCGCTGGTATGCCTACCTGATGGAAGACCCAATGGAGCGTATAGCAGTGTCTGCCTCTCGGCATTCGAACAACCTCATAGGATAGCTTGCTTGCGGCTCGGATCCCCGGCGTCCAGTTGGTGACCATCGTTGTCCTCAGATGGCGTCTGCGTCTCTCGAGCCCGAGGAGCCGATGTTTCGCCTTGCTTGAGCCGTACTTTCGCAGACGGCCAGGTTGTTAGTTTAAGTGTGCGTGCAAGGAGAAGGTGAGGCGAAAGTCCCGTCATTTCTAGCCGAATAAAATAACAATAACCATCTCAGCTTCAAATCAAGTGGACAAGACCGAGGACAGCCGAACCAAAGATAGGGCCCATGAAGAAGCGCTGTCTGATATGGTACACTTTTAGTATACAATTCTGCGAATCAGACACTAGTTGTGAACGTCTTTTCAGTTTTCTTCTGGTGAACTCCTTTTTCTTCGACAACAACACATCAAAATGGTCTCAATCAAGATTTCCTGTGCAACTGTCTTCGCCGTACTTGTTGCCCTAGTCCAATCCTCTCCCACTATCGTCTCTGCGTTTCTAGATAAACGCCAGTGTCTTTATTGTGATTATGCTGGACCCGTATGTTATTAACCTTCCTATAGCTGAATGTTTTGTATTTCATCCTTTGCTGGCCGTTACATTTAGCACTGCACTGCATGCAATTGGATCTGTCAAGATCCGAATAACTCAGACACTTGCGCGTATGGCTGCAGTGGGGATGCGCGGTTGGATTCATGCATAACGCCTAAGCCTCGCCGTGGCCCTTGGCTCGTCCACAGGCAGCCCGGCCCGGCTTGGACAGCACCCTGGTCGCCCGCCAACAGGATTTTGGGCTTGCCCCTTATTGGCTTCCTTGGCATAATTAGGAGTTCAGGATGAATAGATCGCTAATTCTGCTTGATATGTTCCTTTTTCAATATTTGTTTCGCTTAGACGTTGACACGGCTCGCCAAGACCACCCGGATACTCTGTACCTGCTTTTCCATATGGTTTTGTATGGTAAAAAGGGCCAGTTCGGAATATCGGCATCGTAACACGCCCGAATAGCCCCGAAGGCTATGAGACGCCTTCAACAGCGACCTGGTAATTAATTCTTCAATAAAATCGATTAATTGGCTCCTTCAGTACTAGCATGCACGAGAATCCTTCAACCCGTTAGAATCCACTAATTGCATGTGCTAAAATCAACACTAATTGTGCCCCCCGAGCGGATGAGGGAGAGGTGAAAATTAACACATGGGAAACAGCAAGGATTATGAAGAGAACATAGAAAAGCCGAACTAACAAAGTTGATTGAGCAGTCTATTAGTAAGAAGAGACAATGGCGGCCATGGGGATTGAAGGAGGGAAAGGCCCTAAACTGGTTGTGACTGTGATTACCTTCAGGCACACGTACAAAAGAGAAAAGCAGAAAATGATAAATGAGAAAAAACCTCTCTGCAATGATTAACGAAAGGCTGGAAAGCGACTAGACGTCATAGAATCCAGGTCGAACAAGACGGAGAACACACAAGATCAGTAGGGTGGCTGGCCATGCCTGGTATTAGAAAACCTTGCAGTTAGTCAACCAAACCCATTTTGAAATTTCTCAACATGGTGGCTGATTTAATTGCCAGAGAAGCCATCCTTCAGATTAACATATGTGCTGGTAGGATAGTTCAAGTTGTTAAGAGACTGATCCAAAGAGCCAGCGCCTCCAAACAGAGAGACAGTGGTGCCGATGAGACTCAGAGTATCGTTTCGGTCCATGCTAACTTCCCACCAGGCGGTGCCAGCAAGACCCAAACACTGAACATACTCAGCCTTCAGGGCAGCTATCTCAGGAGTATCATAGCTAACCAGGTATTTCTGCTTGGCGTCGTAGCTGTAGCTTCCACCAACACGAGGAATGTTGACAACCTTAGCGTTGAATCCTGGTAGGGGAAGTGCGTTGTAATTCCAAAGCCCAGCGGTACCAAGACTGCCCTGTGTGCCGCCATTGGAGAACTTATCCCCCACGCCATTAGTGCCATTGAAGACACGACCGTACAGCGGGTTCTCCAAAACGAGCTTGTTGGGTGGAACATGACCGTTAAACATGTAAAAATCAAGGCTCGAGTTTGTATCATAATCAGTTGCACGTGGATTGCGGACATCCGGGAACAAGTTTGACAAGTAGCCAGAGTAATTGCTGAATCCGGGTCCCATGTAGTCCAAAGCCATAACAGTGTAGAAATCGAGATACGGGGTCATGCTAGTGAGGTCTAACATGACAGCCTTGTCCTTGTCCGCTGGAGAGGCATAGCTGATCTGGAATGGGGATGTAGCGGCAGTCTTCTCCGCTAATTGGTCCAGACTCTGGCGCAGACGCTTGAGCAAATCCACCATCTGAGCCGCTTGACTGTGATCTGCGACGTACTCATAGTCGATATCAATTCCATCGAAGCCGAGATCTGCGACAAATTGGACGGCCGTATCAACAAAATTCTGCCGCTTGGTGCTAGATAAAAGCATAGGGGGAAATTCTCGCGGTAGCTCCAGCCACCGATGGAGAGCATAGTTTTGAGATGGCGGTGCTTCTTCTTCAACAGGAACATCTGCTTGATATTTCCATATACATTCTCTCCCGGCGCAGTGGTATTATCTCCAGGGTACGCATACTGGAGATCGGCCCAAGTGTCACTCAATATCCTATGTATAACGTCTGTTAGCTAGGCCTACTATCCAAAGACGTGGATGTGTTCATACACGCTGCCAGTAGTAGCGTTGACGTTGGCGAAAGCATAGACAAGATGGGTCAAGTTCTCTGCTGGAACATCGGTGATGAAGTAGTTGGCTCCATAGATATCCTGTATTGCGAAAGCACTATTAGCTAAAAATTCGTCAGGGAATGAAAATTCAGCGTGAGTTCGCTCGTACCCAGTTGCCGAAGTAGGCAACGGCTTTCATCCCACCGTGGATTCCACCGCGGTTGCCGCAAGAGATTTCAAACTTGCCATCTCTATGATAATGTCTAGGCTTCTCATGCTGGCCCAAGACACCGACAACAGCGACAAGAAAAGTGGAAAGGGAGCTGAGACGCATTTTGCGACAGTGATGTTCTAGGCGAGGTCTTCGGTTTGAAATGATCAGTTCAAGGAATGACTGAGGTAAGTATACAGGAACAAGGAATGAGTGGACGGTTCAACAAAAGTAACCGGGCGATACTGTCCTCGAAACTGGTGCAAATGCGACCCTTTCATAATTTAGTGAATATGGGGTTCTTAAGATTACAGTTAACCTTGTATGCAATTCCCCTGTTGGTTCTGGCAAAAGGAACACAGTTAGCAGCCTTCGGACGCCCCGAAAGGCTCGATTCATCTTAAATAAAGTTCAGGAGCAAAGGTAAGCCCGATTGACGCACCACTGGAGCTTCATGAAAGTGCAGAGCTAATTTAGAGCCGAATATTTATCCGTCCGAAATTTCTCCATCGGCATAACATTGAGTTCTAGAGGAATTTCGGGTGGATATATGGGAATAAATTACTTCAGTTTTAGGTAACGGATCCGCAGATCTTGCGACCGAGACCAATGAGTGGCGCAATGAAAAATGAGGAAACGCAGATAAGACATCTCTGTTACTTTTCGGCACGGAGAGACCTTTTTCTTGCGTGCTTTACTGGTCACCGCGTACGTACTCCGTAACCGTAAGCAAAATTGCCAAGAAGCCAACAGTTCCTACACACCTTATTCAAAATACTCGCCATTCTATTGGCCGGCTACGGGCCTTTGATTCGAGTCGGATTGATGGCTAGTAAGCACGCGCCCCCACAGTTGTAGAGTAGCATCTGTACCTTGTGGTAGAAGTTTATTTCATCGAGCGCTATGCACCACAAGCAGCGCTGCAATCCATGAGCGTAAGCCCGACTCAGTTCATACCCCCTCCGTACTCTGTCGGTATTATTCGAGTCTAGGATTGTCCTAGAACTTCGGGTTCCTTTTCCGCGCCCACTCTGTTATCTACGGGGTGCCCAATTTTCCGACACTTGAAGTAGAACTCATCTGATGGGTTGTCTCATTTATTAATACCCTACTGTTGCTATGACTTTTGCTAAAAGTATCTTTGTCTGTCTTCCTCGTAGCCGTAGTGGAGCATTCACCAGCTACTTCCGGGTAGTTGCATCCAGTTGACAGCTGTTCTGTGTCTCTGCACTTGCCTGTGTTGTGATATGAGGCTGGTGCACATCAGGAACCATGCCGAACCATCGGAATTAATCCCGAAGTATGTATACGAAGAACCAAGTTGATTTGGAAATCCTTCTCGTTATAGCCTCCCTCATGTTTCCCTCCGAATAAATGAAAATCCATCTTCCTTGGAACTACATGTACAACAAGACCAAGTGGCTCTTAAGGATTCTTAAGACCGCAAACAGGTACAAAAATAACGGCCCACTTCATCTTCGTGGTTTTTCGCGTTGAAAAGGCGTGCTGCGCTCCAGAAACAGTGGTGTTTAGAGTTCATGGCCAAACCACGGCCAGAGGCGATCGAGGAACCCGCGTTCCAGAAACGGCGGGTTTTCGAGTTCACGACTAGCAGAACTCCGAAACGGTTACTCCACCAGGGGATGAACGTAAAATGTGCCTAGCAAATATATTGCTACACCCATTTTGACGCCTGGCACGGAAGGGAGGGAGCTTGGTTTTTTCAAACAATTAATGGTGTCCGAGGAATGCATCAAGTCTTGGTCTGTTATGACAGGGAATTTCTGATTCTGAGGGCCAACAGAAACAATGAATGTCTGCTTTGGAAAATTTGCCAAATGCACAGCGTAGCTAGCCTGAGCTTCTGGCCTCTAAAACTTTTTTATTTTCCTTTTTTATTTTCACAGAATAATAAGCAAGGAACCTAGGACAGGAAGGGGACTTGAATTGGAGGCCTTAGGAATATGGCAAGAAAATGGGCACAGCTTGGTTGTCCAAGCGGACATCGTCCTTGGCGGGCAGGTTGAAATAACTTCTGCAACTGGGGGGTGCCTGGGTATTAGGAGATGCGCGTGATTTAGAGTGGAGACTGTTGTCTAGCCAATCTTGTTCAATAAATACCCTACTTCTTTCACTCTGTTTACAGTACTGTAACAAGAAAATGAATGATCCGTTCATTTACAGTGACACAGCAAATGTTTTAACACCCTTGGACAGACCGCTTTTGAGACCGCCTATTGTAAACCGAAGAGCAAATTTATGATATCTTACATTTTAGACATTTTTGTTTCAGTAGGTGTTTTTCATAGAAGGTATAATTCAATTCAATACACAAAGGCCAAGTATTTCATTAAGGAACAAGTTAAAGGGTGCTGAAAAAATTGAATTTTTGACTGGCAGAATCTAAATATTCAGAGGGGTGTTAAAACATTTGCTGCGTCACTGTATTATTTTGGACCAACAACCATTTAATCACCAGCTGCAAGTTTGCTTGACAGTTAAACCTCAGTTTTTCGCACTGTGGGTCACTGGGTCTTATACCATAATGTTTATCTTCTTTTTTTATTGCTGATATCGTAGAAAGCATCGTTGAATATGCATATTCGGTCAACTTACAAATAATTGTTGCATTTGATCGTTCATCAACATCATTCCTCTCTTCAAACAGTGTCTTTACACCGAATTTTGCCCAGTTAAAGTATAAATATACCATTATCGACCGCTAAATAGTACATACTTAATCAGCCGGTTAGAGACGCCTAATAGTTAGAGAAGAGTGTCAGTAATGAATAGTGGATACATGGATGATACAAAGTATTTACCTAGAAGATCACATTACAGTGGAAAGGCAGACATCAAGCACTTCTATTACTATATGGATGCCGAATATGTCAATAACGCTAAGGCTTGTGGGCCTAGCTAGTTATATCTGGCTACTTTAACCTTTCCTCACGCGTTCTTGGCCTTTTACTTGGCCAAGCTTGAAAATACTCGGCCTGGCCTCTTCCTTGTCTAATCCAGCCCCCTTCAACAAGGTACTATCTAATACATTCCTTGGTCCCACAGCGTTCAAAAACCAAACCATGAAGGCATTAGAACCTTTCCAAATCGAGTCACTCTTTCCAGTGATAATTTCATCTATAACTTCCCGGGCGAACTGAGCCAGCCCCATTGTCTTTGCAAGGTGAATAGTTGTTCGTGCCTTTACAGAATCCTCTAAGACGCGGTAAATACTCTCTGGTCCAAAATTGATATTGTCCGCCGACACCGATGGACGATACCTCTCCCATGTACAAGGTTTTGACTTTCAGGCCAAGCAGCTGCAATTAGAGTCGAAGAGTGTCCGAGTAGGATGCTACAGCCGCTTTGCGAGCGTTGTAAGCGGAACCGAATGGATTCGGGAGGCGCGCTAGGACAGAGGCGGCATTATATTAGACACATTACCAAGCTACAGTGACCCAGCCCATTTTGTCTCAACTCCGCCCACCGCGAACCTTCCGAGATTTTCTGCGTCCGTCATATTCGGGTAAGTTATGTAACCATTCCGTAGCGACTCGAACTAACTTTACAACTCGACAAGGTAGTTGCTCCATTCCCATCGCAGATTACAGCCTAGCACTGAGGGAACCAACTGGCATGATTGACGAACTACCAAAAGAGACCGTGACTGCGAATTAAACTGTTACTCTACATCATCGCCTGAGTTTTGGTAATGTGGAGATATCCAATCCCGACACCCGAAACGCTGCCGCATTGGAAGATCCATCGGGAACCATATCCTGCTAGTCTGGGTACGGATTCGTATTTTAGTCTAGCTGGGAAATCAACTGGTTATGAGCCCGGATTGCACGACTTTTGAGGGCGCCGGTTCGATCCTCACAGTTTGCGTTCTTGAGCACTCAGAGCCACCAGAAGACGGCCTATGATTGGTCGCACAGCCAGGCAGCAGAGCTTCATACGCACCCCCAGCCAAGCGTCTATAGTTTACGGGGGAGAGTTGGATTATAAACCATATCCTGCTAGTCTGGGTACGGATTCGTATTTTAGTCTAGCTGGGAAATCAACTTTAGGTTTCCAAATCGTTAACTATGCCCCGTATTTGTGAGTTCTACTTGCCATATGCATCTTGTAAGCTGGTATTGTGGAGGAAGGTAAGCGACTACTGGCCCAGACCATTAGCATCATCTAGCACCGGATTGGCATCTAGAAACTGCGGTCCGGAATTTGTCGTGTCATACCGAGGAACAGTACAATTTCTATGAATCTGGCTTCAAAACCGGCCAGAGTTATTCCCCAAGTCATCAATGAGAATAGTTAGAGTTCCAGCTCAACGTTAAAAGAATTAAAATAAATACAGCTACAATGGTAATAATTCTATCGAATACCGTATTCCCTGTCGTGCGGCGATCTTGGGTATGTAAAATCTGACAGCGCCACTGGGGAACCACGTACACGGAAGAAAGAGAGAAACAGCTCATTTGGAAAATTAAGCTTTTGGTGAATGGCAGTGCTGCGGGCCGAGCGACCAGCGCATCCTTGGCCTCTCGAGTCCTTCCTACACTGTAAACTCTCAGCACTCTCAACTCTGTCTGCCGCCCAAGTCTACCCACATTCCCCTCCGTGCCATTGGCCGCTACTCCTTCAGAGATAAATGGAGTTTCTCAGCCCCATTTTCGTTCCTGTCTTTTTTCCCCTTTCCTTCCAACACGTCGCTCGCTACCCTCGAAGCATTTCTGCTGTTGTCTTTAAGTATTTCGTCCCACTTTAGTCATTCTTTGACAACTATGGACAATATTCAGGTCTTTTGACTCATAAATTCCGCGTTTTCTGCAGTCAGCCGGGCGAAGTACTGGAAACTCTATGCAAGAACTCCACATGGCTTGATCCCACCGAATGTGGCGGGAATGTTTGAATACCAGGATTTTAATCTAACCAACGCAACCTGTGAGCTCCAGCCAAAGCTGCAACTCCACATGTGCATTTATATAAGTTTCACATTGATATGGAATAAAGGGATGCGGTGGGGGAATAAGTACCCCTTTGTTCTCGGTTAAATCGGCCAGGAATTGTCCCTGTCTCACTTGGTGTCGTTGTTTCTGAAAGTTGTGCCAATAATTCAGTCCAAGAACAATATAAGGCCGACATTGTGGCTCTGGCTATCTCTCCCGCATTTTTTCGCCCCTGAGTTTGATTTGTACGGCCTAGCAGGTCCCAATTCTGATGGATTATGAAACCAACGAACAACTTATAGCCTGGATGCTCCGGAAAATTTCTCCGTCTCTTATTGTCAACTCACCGGTCAGTATGGCACCCTCTTGTGTTAGTTCCTACATCTGAGTGGCGTTATAAGGGTCTACTTGGGTGCTTTCGCGGCTTTGTGTTCCAATGCACAGAAACCCAACGACGGATCCTCTTCAGCTCGCCATCATATCAGGAAGGGGCAGCTACCATGGCCTTGGAAGTAGAAAGGTCTATGGAATCTTGTCAACAAGGTTTTTCGCTTGATATCCCCCCTTCATAGCTGAAGCTGCATCAAGCCCTGTTGTGGTTGGTCTGGAACAGAGGACTTGTTTCCCTTCCACTCCAGCGGAATCGGAGACACCCAACTTGTCGCTGGTTGCTTCTGAATTGTCTCCATCCGTTTCCTCCCGGCCAGGCGGGGTGATTGAGACTGGCTCCACTGATGCGGCCTATGCTCCTCTGGAGAACCATACGAATGCGGCGGCTTTCTTCAGGGCCAGATTGGGATCTCGAAACTCAAGGGCAACCTATCTAGCCCGGGCGCTCCAGGGTTTAATCAATGCCATGGAACTCGATGGAGCGACATACGCGAATCTTTGGTCCACTCGGGAAAGGATTTTCTCTGGCGTTGGTACAAGTCCAGTCGCTCGCTTTCAGAGACTGTTCCATGGTTTTCTTCGGGTGAAGCGTGGCCGCGATGATTATGATTGTGCAAGTCGCCTCTGTCACATATTCTTGGATCATGATCTTGAACAGTTGGCGACCTCTGACCTCCTCCGCTTATCCCGTGGCCGTGGCAGAAAGTCTGCCGCTTTGTCTTTGCAGGCAGCAAGCATATCAGCCTCCATAGGCGCTGTGAAAGCCGATCGTAAGGCTGGCCAAAGGTACATGCAAATTCTGATGGATGCCGGCCCGGGGCTATTGCTCATGCTTGGTAGCCAGATAAACACAGTGTAAGTGTGTTGTATGCCTTCCAGACATTTGCAAGAAACTGACTAGATTGAAACAGGTGGGAAAGAAAACTAAGTAAGGGAGATGTCTCTCTTCTATTGGAATATCTCAGGTTGCAGCGGCCTGAAATCCTGGAGAAAGGCTGCTCACTGGATAAGGTGGCAACAGCATTGATTCTTCAGGGTTTTTTAGCGTATGGCTGGACGTACAAGGAACTTTCCGAACGCCCGTCTAGAGTGGTGAACCGACTGCGCTCGTACATCGATGTTGCAGAACTAGCATCACGGCATGATATAGATGCTGTCGCTCTTGATCACCCCCTCGGTTGCACCTTACTCACGCCGGTCAGCTATGACGGAGATAACGCTCCGGATAACGCACAGCTAAAGTGCTTCAACCCTGCATCCTGTCAGGCTCATCACCTGCACCTGTTTCACTTAAACGTAACAGACCCTCCATCGCAGATGGGCGAAACAATATCACGGAGTTGATCGCTGATGATTCTGTTGTGATATGAGGCTGGTGCAGATCAGGAACCAAGCCGAACCATCGGAATTAATCCCGAGATATGTATACGAAGAACCAAGTTGGTTGGAAATCAACTTGTTCTTCTCGTTGTATATATACAGATACCAGTCAAAAATATCTTCCCACTGCCCCACTACAATTTGACCCGGCAACCCACCCACCTTTCTATTTTTCTTCCTACACCTCTCCTACATGTCCGATTTCAATGGAAATAAGTTCAAAACGTCGTAAAACGGCTGAACTATCTATTGAGCAAAGGTCAGCTATTGTATTTGGCCATAAGAACGGCATTTCGCAGTCAAAGCTAGCTAATGAATTCGAATGTAGCCGTCGGACGATCTATAATACGTTGAAATGCTTCGAGGAGCATCAATTATTTGAAAGCCTTCCCCGAGCCCGCCGTCCTCCTATACTAAGCTCTCGAGCTTCCACTTGCCTCTATTTACAAGCGCGCGACACCCCTTTTGGACCTATAAACAGCTTAGTGCTGCGACACCTGGTCATCCGTCTCGGTCCACTATACAGCGAGTTTTAAAGCAATACGGTCTCGGAAAACGGCGTTCAAAAAGAAAGATACCAATTAAGCCCTCTCTTACAAGGAAACGGCTAAGATTTGCGCGAAAATGGCGGCGTGAAAGCTTCCAATCGTGGATCTTCTCGGACGAGTGTTCGGTGCAGCGAACCTCGAAGTTTGGACCACAATGGTGCTTCCGTACGGACTCCGAGGGTCTTCGCCGCGATCTTGTGAATGCGAAAGTACACGTTAAAGATATTTCGCAAATTGTTTGGGCCGGAATCTGGCTAGGTGGTCGGACAGAATTAATTATCATGGAACGGGACGAAGACTCGCCTTCAGGAAGGGTTTACACTTCAAAATCGTATATCGAAGCACTCGAAAAAGGTCTGATGTCAATCTATACCCCTGATTTAGTATTTCAGCAAGATAACGCAAAGATTCATCTAGCGATGGCGACGTAAGAGTGGTTTGAAAGGCACGGAGTATACGTCGAGGATTGGCCCGCGCACTCACCTAATTTAAACCCAATTGAACCGGTCTAGCGTTGGTTGAAATTGAAGCTTTTTGCAATGTTTCTAGAGCTTATTGGCCAAGGAAGAAAGGAGATAGACTGGCTTTATTAAAAAATGCCTGGTGGAAGCTTGGAAGGCAATAGATCAAGCAAAGATAGATGCGCTGATATTGAGTATGGGAAGACGTTTGAAAGCAGTACGGAAGGCTAAGGGGTATTATACAAAATATTAAGCGAGATTTTTATTGTGCTATTATTAAGCAACCTCAATTTTTAATTATAGCATTATAGACCATAAAATGGTGGTGCTATATACAGTGTAAGTGATATATATATTTTGAGAGGGGACCCGAAAAAGTGGAGTGGGAAGATACTTTTGAACGGTGTTAAAACTTGGGATGTCTAATGGTAGGAGATGAATAAAGCATGCAAACAGTCTATTCCAGAGAGGTGTTTAAGTCTGATCTTCCATGGTATGAAAGATTTGCTATATATACGGTCGCACTAGTACTGAACTGGGAGGTGTCAATGTTGACCTAAAGAGATGTGAGGCATCTGAATTGATGCATCAGAATGATGCCTTGAATGCAAGGCATCATACGATGGATCTTGCATCCATTTCAACAAGGTGAAATATAATTGTTCGCATAGCGCAACGTAATAAGAATACCTCAGTTAAGGGCTGACATCCGGCTCTAGACTATAGACTTAATTTCGTC